TTACTCTGCAGCTAAAGAAGAGATGGCAGAATCAAACAATGGCTCCAATAATACTACACCACAGTATCAGGTGAGTTTAATTTTTTTTGTGTGAATTTAGTAATTTGCTGTCCTTTCTGTTTAATATGCTGTGAAATTGTAGTTACAGATGCAGCTGTAGAGTTTAAGCTAGCCTTATGGGTAATTACCAGCGTAGTTGTCTTACTGAGGCAGTGTATCCTAATCATGTTTTTTAGGGTAATGGTGCAGTTGAGTCAGCAGTAAGAAATCTGGTGTCTTTGCTGCTTAACAACATATCCACAAATCCTTCAGGGAGGCCAACAGAGAGTGGGCAGCCGGAGCCTAGAAATCTGACTATCCAGCAAGAGATGACAAGGTTTTTGCTTTTTTTGTGTGTTTTTTTTATTTTAACTTTTTGCAATCTTTTCTGTTAAAGTTATTTGGTTTGTGGATTTATCAACATTGATTTTTAAATTAAAATGTGCTATTAAGGACTGATGTCATATTTAATAACTTTATTAAACAATAACCCTTATGTTATGCAACACTGCATTTTTTAAACTCATGCATTTTCATCCCACAGATCATTTCCAGGATATTTCAAATCACACTTGAGCCGTGGTAAAAAGAGATGTTTAACATCTACTAAGCAGCTTGTTAAGGCAGGCAGTAAGACCACAGGCCTCAGTTTTTATTTGCTGTCAAAAAACACATCCTACACACCTTTGCCAGCTGAGGAGCTTGAACTCCTACAAGCTGGCATGGGGAGACAAACAGTGTCTCTTCCAGAAGATGGTGACCATGCAGAGGTAAGTTTGTGTAGTCAGTATTAAAATCAGTCATTGGCAGACGCATTTAGCCTGAATCATATGCCACAGTCCATTTAGTGTTCCATTCTGCTTAACGGTGTTTTTAACTAAGATTTCTAGACTTCTGGAAGAAACCTTTCCAAAAATGGAATATCTTTGTGGAGGATGGCTCTTACATAAGGCAACAGGTTTGTTGTTAATTCAGTTTTTATGTATTTTTTTGGCATTCTTGCGTGCTCATACTGCATTATGATTATGTAGTTGATACTTTTGCTGCTTGATTGTTTATGCTATTTTTCTGTCAATAAAGGTGGCAGTGGTCGACGAAAGCTCACTGTAATTCCACCTGAAACAGAAGGATATTCTGTCAAAACACTGAAAGCTGTGTCAGGAGGTGGCAAATCCACTTTTTACATAGTACCTCTTCAGGAAACATTAGACACATCTCCTCTACCTCCCGACTCACAGCACTTTTCAAAGATGCCAAAGAAGATATGTTACCAGTGTAATGAAGTTATGCCTCTGCAGATGCTTGCAGTACACATCAATACGTGCAAAGGAAAATTCTCTCCTGATGAGACTGATGATGAGGTGAGACAATTTTGATGAAATCAAAAGGAGCAATTTTGATTAAATAATATAGTATCACAATTACTGTTTTTTGATTCAGCAGGAATCGGAGTTATGCATTGTGAAAAGCAAATGCAAGGTAAACCTAGCACATTACTAAAAACCATAGTAACTACAATGAATTTTGTATCGGTAATGATCTTTTTCCCACTATGCCTAACATGTACCCATTTTTGGAATTGTAGGTTATTTGTCCAATATGCACTAAGGATTTTCCTGAAGATGAGATCACAGTCCATGCGAGTCTGTGTGGGGATAGGTAATCTTTTTTCAGCCGTTTATGAAAAAATGTTAATCAGTAACAGTCCACGCAAACATATGTATTTTTATTTTATTTTTTTTAAACTTTGTTTTGTCATCAGCTTTCAATGCATGGTGCCTGAAGAAAATGACCAAACTACAGGGACACCAGCTCAAACTTCAGTATGCACAACAGACAGGTACTTTTTGCTCTATTATAATTCATATACACACTATTATGCAGAACCATTTGTTAAAATTATGTGTAAGATCTTTTACACAATACCTGGGGTTTAATTTCATATAAAACATTTTATGATCACACTACTTTAAATTATTGTTAAAGGTTGTTGCACAGAACATGCTGCAATAATTTCTAATCACGTTTAATGTGGTAGCCTCTTTTAATCTAAAGATGATTATTTTTCTTTGAGAACTTAGGATGTTTTCTACCCTGTTTTTGTTAAGCGTGGAAGATGTATTGCGTTGCCTTGAACAACAAGTCGACACCACAACAGAATTTAAGTTGTGTGTGGACAGAGAAGACCTTCCAGACAGAGGCATTCTCCAGTGGCAGAGAAAAAAAGCTGCATCTCCCACCAGTGTTCTTAGGGTGGTTTTCATTGGAGAGGCAGGCGTGGATACAGGAGCACTTAGGAAAGAGTTTTTGAGTGGTGAGTTGCCTATTACCTGTTTTGTCCTAGTGTCAATAAATAATGGATAACTTAAAAATGCGGATATTTTTTGTATGAAAGACATGATTTCAGGTATTGAAAGCAGATTCTTTGAAGGACTTGAGAACAAGGGCAAAAACCCCAAGTATTCTCTGACCGATCTTGATAATGAAAACTTCAGGTTGGTTACATACGAGCTTTGTGTATTACATTTAATACGCATCCGATATTTTTGTAAATGTTACCTGAAAATGAATTATAATCATTTGTCTACACAGAACTGTTGGTGAAATAATTGCAGTCAGCCTCGCCCAAGGAGGCCCATCTCCTGCCTTTTTCAAAGAATGGTGCTACAATTTCCTCTGCTCAGGAGAGGTTGATTTCAGCTGTCTGTCTAAGGAGGATGTTGCAGATGTGGAATCTTCCCTGCTCATCCGCAAAGTGAGCACCTGGTTTAGCTCTGGCACATGATATATTATGAGTATGGTGTTTTTAAACACTTTTAACCTTCTGTATTTCCTCTTTCACATTATACATTTCCAGGTTGAAGATGCAGCAGACATACAGTATCTGATGATGTGGGCTGATGAAATTGTCAGCTGTGGATACACAAACCAGATAAAGATGGATAGTAAGGAAAGCATGATCCGGTAAGGGAGAAAAAATCAGAGAGATCATTAACCCCCCCCAACTAGTTTTTCATTTTTTTTTTTTTTTTTTTTTTTTTTTAAGTGCTATTGTCTTACACTCTACAACAAGACTGATTCCAATGCTACAGCAGCTCCGAAAGGGCATGGAACTGTATGGTCTTGTGAACCTGATGGCTGTAAATCCTGAAGCTTGCCACAGTTTGTTTGTTCCTGGGAAAATCCTCAAAGTAAGTATTAACATAGCAGCTTCAGTCTGATCCAAAGACAGTCCACTTATCTGTACTGTAGTTATCCTGTATTTATTTATTAGTTTTGAATGAACAATATATCTATAATATAATCTACTTTATTTCCTTATTTACAGCCAGACGCTGATTTCATTATGATGAGCTGCCAACCACATTTCAGTGAAAAAGGGACATCTAGGGAGAGAACTGAGAGGAAGATCATAAATTTTTTGCAAGATTTCTTGCAGGAGATTGAAGTATCAGGTACTATATAGTATTAGCTGTATATACCTATAGTATTGTATATATACCGTATGAATCTGTTAAATATTTTTGCTTTAACATGCAGGGCACTAGAAAGTATTCTTAGTTGTTAATTTAAAACATTGTAATCCAGATTGCTTTTTATTTAGAAAAGACTTTCAAACATCACAGATGGAAACACAGGCGGTGCAGGTGGTGAAAAATCAGAGTCTCTTGCTGTCCACCATGTGCTCCAGTGGATGACCGGCCAGTCCCATGTTCCCATCCTTCCTGATGAAAAGAGACATTTCAAAATAGCATGCAAGTTTGACCATGAATGTAAGGAGCGGCTGGGAGATCACTCCATTTGTTACCCAGTTGTGAGTGCATGCACTTGTACTGTGACTTTTCCAGTGCAGCATCTGGACACTTACACAGTGTTTAAAACCATAATGAGTGCAGCAGTTAAATATGGTGGTGGATTCCACAGAGTTTAACACATTGTTGTCTTGTAATTTGGAAACTAAATGAGTAAAAATGTTTGTAAACATTAGCTGTTAAGATGTTCGTAGCCGTTTCATGAAAATGACAAGACTTCAAAACTTTGTGTAGGGTCCTACGTTGAGTGCTTTGTTTGCTTGTCTACTTGTAATCTGAATGTTTTAGCAAAGAAATCCAGTATTTGAGAACTTAAAAGAACGTTGACTTTCACGTCCATGTTAAGTGTCACTGTTGGTTTGACACCTGTAGCAAGAATTGTATGTACAGGTCACGACCGTGTGACTCAGAATGTTCCAAGGGATTAATAGTTCTCTGAAGCCCCTCCAGGGTTTCCTCATCCAGTGGGCATTCAACTTCAGGAACCACAACTGTGCTGTTAGATTCTTCTTGCAGTACAGCACTCTCCCAGTCAATGCCTGGATCCCGAAGCTCCTTCAAATCCACAAACATATATAATGGTCATTATTCCAGAATAGGTACTTTTGGGAGGAATGTTATTTTGTGTAAGCGTTTTTTCCATTAAAATACAACAATTTAAAAAGAATGCCTTTGTTTTCATGTTCTTCTTACTGTAATTTAGATTAGTGGTAATTGATAAGCAAGAATGTATAAAATCACCAGAAGCATCTCCCAGATGTGCTGCAAGTGTTTTAATTTGTTAATTTCAGAAGAGCAGAGTTAACTGCTAACTAAAATTTTGAAATTCAACATTTAAATAAAAAAAAAAAAAAAAAAAAATCAGATTATGAGCTGGTACCTCAAGTCTCTCGCCCTCGTCCAGCTCTTGTAGATGTCCCATACACCAGAGCTGTTCAGGAGTGAGACCACCTTCTGTCCTGAGGGGATGATTATTCCATCCTCCAACAAAGGTGACAAGATCTGCTCGGAGTCGAGGGACAAAGATGTAGTGGACACCAAAAAGATGAATGACATCTGAAATTTGGATTTCAGGTATTTCATGCTTCAAATCAATATCAGAACTGCTACAACAATCTACCCATGCAGTCAATAATAATATAAAAAACATCAAAAGACTAACCTCTGATTGTGGACACTCTTTCCAGATATGAAACTCGCTCTCCCTGTTCCTCTTGTGGCAAACATGAAATGTGCAATGTCCAGGTTTTCTACTCCTTGATCTGCCCTAACCCTATGATAAAAATACATTTTTAAGGAATTTTTAAAGTTTTCTTTAATGATACTTGTTGCTAGCATATAAATTAAATCAGGGCATAAAACCTTGATGGCAAGCCGTGAAGCTGGGCTGATCTCAGGAAAAATGAGAATGCAGTTTTTGCCCTGTTGTTAGTTGCTGCATCCAAGTACAGGACCTGCAGTAAAAACAAATGGAAAATTAAAGATCTGGTTTCAGATCATGTATAGTTTTTCAGTTAATAATGCAGTTTCATAATAAGTGTTCAAGGAATATTGTACGGTTCTATGTTCATAACCATAATTCAAAGCTTGAGTAGTCTATACATCAATATTGGTAGTACTTATCAAAAAATGAAAATGGCCTTTTAGTTTAACCTTTTTTGGTAAAGAACTGATTATAAATTTAAAAAAATAATAATTGCAAATCGTCCACTATGTTGGCTTGCTGAATAATTGATGTTCATAAAAAAACAACCTAATAAAGCTCTCATTTCAAAACTACCAAATATTCTACATAACAGTTACACTTTTACCTTCCTTGAGTAGCCATCCACTCCACCAAAGATCACAACATTGTACCTGTTTCAGAGGGAAAACAATCTCACTAAGGCTTGATTTGCAGAACATGTAAGACATTGAAAATACATTTTTCAGTATGCACACTTGCCACTGACTTAAACTGGACACTTGTCAGGTGTGCTGAAAATAATACCAACATTTTTATATGTTTATAAGTTCAATGAGACTAAATATTTTAGTTCTCTTGTCATGATTTTTTTTAAGTTTTCTGGAGCACTTAACATATTATGTGTTGATAGGCTTGTTATCATGGAAAATATCGATATACAAAGTGTAAATAATTGCTCAAGAAAATTTACAATTAACAATATTGCTGGTTTTGTTACACATCCTGTATTCCTTTTACTTAATATTACTCTATCAAGTGCTTTTTAAAATATTATAAATACACTGAAAGACCTATCAGATAAGGTTGATTAAAGCAGATTTAAAGTATAACGTGCATCTTTCTGCCCAACTTGTGTTAGAGCTATATAAGTGGGTATTTTACCTTATTAGCTTGTGATTTGTGTCTATGTGGACCAGGGAGAGAGGGCCTCGCACCGAGTAGCTTCTTCGCACAACACAGCCTAGTTCTGTGATCCGTTTGAAGATCCCTACAGCATCAACTCGATGCATGGAGGCCATCATTCTCCACCACTGAACACGGAGACCCATAGAAACCAAATGTCCTTGAACCATTCGATAGCCAGCATTTGGCATCTGATTTTTGATAGCCGATATGATGTTGTCCAGCTCTTGGTCATTCATTGTGCTGTATGTTCCTCTCACAGACAAGTCAAATTCTTGCATCCTCCTGTAGATTGTTCTTCTTGAAACACCAAGACATTTAGCAATGCAGCTGACTGGCAGCTGAATGTCCAACAAATTCTTGAGTCTTTCTCTCTCTAGTACGATTTTGGGGTGGCCAGGTCCCAGACCAACTTCTGTTTCCAGTTCAATAATGGCCACAGAGCTGATGTTAATTTCACACTGAACCAGATGATGAACGTTTTGTAGAGCCTCTGTAATCTCTGACAGACCGCCTATTTGCTGAGAGAAAGATTCAAACAGAACAAGCTCATGACGAGTCAAGAACTCCAAATAATCCAGATTTAGTGGTTGTTGGTTTAAAGCAGCTTTCAGTTTAGAGAGGAGTCTATGCATCATTTGCTGTCTCAGTATGTCCTGTTAAAAGCAGCAAGGAACATGGACAAGTACAATGAAATGATGTATCTCAGACAAAAATAAACAACCCATAAAACAAACTACATGAGGTACATCATTTTTCAAGTTTGCATAGTTTGCAAATTAGCTAACGTCAGTTATCAAGCGAATAATAATTAACAAAATGATTTTATATTACTTACATGTGGCCGGGACATGCTCTTTTCGTGCTGCTATTCAGTATTCGACGACATAAAAGAGAGCTACTCAAGTATAATTTGGAAAAATTAGTCAGTTGGCATGGTTGTATGATGCAACTACATCCTACTACACCAACAATAGTCTTAAAAAATAATATATTTTAAAATAAAATGATTAAAGATATTATCCGCAAATTGGGGTTTAAGAGATTTTAGCTGGATTTAGCTACATTTCGGACAGTGTTTCCGGAAAGCAGTAGCTAGCCAGCTGATTGGAGACCGTAAGAGCCAATCAGAATTTTTGAAACCAAGTCTGTGATTGGTTGGTTTTGTGGCACACTTATAACGGTGTACAGAGAGTTGAGCGTACGAAGCAGAGAATGTTGTGAGCGCAAGCAACACATTGCGAGCAAGCGCAAATGAAAAAACTGAGCGAGAGGGGGTGCTATTGTGTGTGTATATGGATAAGCGCAAATACTGAAATACGTTTTTTGCACGCAGCAATGAATTTTGTTCACTCAAATTCAGCTTTTGTAAGCTCAAAATAAATTTCTCCTCAAAATGCAACACTTGCACCTGCAATTTTTTTTTTTACGTGCGCTCAATTTTTTTTTACGTCCGCTCAGAATAGTGGCACAAAAATAACGCCATAATCATGGACTTAAATGGAATGGAGCGGAGTTCACAATGTCATTATAGTAGAAAATACATGTAGGTCATCATAGCTGAAGCAAATAGCAAACAGGTATCAGCTGCTCAATTGTTGAGTTTAATAACGACTGAAGTAAAAAAGGTTTTCCATCCCTCTGTAGAGCTTCAGGCTTGCTGAATCAATGCAATGATCTATGTTTTCTCAGCATGTGGTGACATGTCAAAACCTTTGTTTTTATTAAACATGAGTGAACGCTAAACTTCATTTGGTTAATTCATATCAAAACTTACTGTTATGTTGGTAATGTTATAAAAAATTGAAGCTAATGTGATAGCCAACATTTTATGTAAGACTGGAACATGTTATCTGGAATTTCACAATCATTTAAGTATTGGATTCAGACTGCTATTATGACAAGATGGCAAATGATTCTCAGGAACTGGAAGGCGCAGAGAGAGCCTCCTTATCAACACTGGGTGATTGAATTCTAGTGATGGGTCGTTCGCCAACGAAATGGCTCTTAGGCTACGTTCACACTGCAGGTCTTAATGCTCAATTCCGATTTTTTGATCAAATCCGATTTTTTTGTCTGCTTGTTCACACTACAAATAAAATGCGAATGCAAACGCGCTCTAGTGTGAACGCTCAAAGCGACCCGCATGCGCAAAAGTAGACGTCACACACAACGCACCCCGTTTATACCCAGAGCAAACAATATTGTTTGGCTGATGGCCCTTAATATAAAGACTTCCGACTTTACGTTTCCCAATTTTTGCTTTAAGTTATTTTGTTATTTACATAATAATGTAAATAACCTAATAATGATCCTTATTGCTGTTTTAGAGGAGCAGTGCTTCAAAGGATAGTTGCAGATTTCTGTCAGAATCTGCAGATTATACAGTACATAAAATATACGTGAAAATAAAATGTTCACGTTTCCCCAACGTTGTCTTCCCAACAGATTCACTAACATCTACACTGGATGGCAAGGAAGTGTTCGCGATGTCTTCTCGGGCGCTTCTCCGGAGCTGATAATTGGCGTCTGTCTTGTGTCAGTGACGTAAAAGACAGATTTAATGCGACATGACCGTTCAAACAGCAGTCACTTTCTAAAACATCGGATATGTATCGGATTCAGTACCACATACGAAAGTGACCCAGATCGGATTTGAAAATATCGGATTTGTGTCGTTCACACTGTCATACCATGATCGGATATGGGTCGCATAGGGTCCAAAAAAATCGGATTTGATGCGCTTTCGCCTGCAGTGTGAACGTAGCCTTAGAGCCGGATCTTTGACGTGAACGACGCGAGCCGGCTCCTTATCACAAGCCGATAAGGAGCTTCTTTTTTTCCGCTTCACTCTGCACGCGAGCCTTGTGCTTTATGCTGGGCAGAGGGGGGAGGGGCGGTAGTTACACTCAGTAGCACAGGAACAGAGCCAGAGGGAGAGAGAGAGAAAGAGAGCCAGGGACAACAACGTCACATTAGAAAGGTATAGTAATCATCCACAACTATTTTTGGTTGTGGATGAAGGATTCAGAAAGTTTATTCATGCAGGCTAATATGACAGAGAATGTGCATGTTCTTTTTGTTTTCATATTATAATTTATATTTAATTGTGTTGTGGCTTGCAGTGTTTTGTGTTGTTTCACTTTAAATTTGTAAAAGAAAAAAGCTGAAAATTTAAATAGTTAAAAGTTGAAATGTGAATAGTTGATTTTTGTATTTATTACATTTTATGTGAAGTGAATAAATAAAAGTATATTTACGGTGGCCCCTAGAGACAAAGCACATACAAACTTCAAATCACATACAAACTCTGAAGCATGTACAAACTCCAAAACACGTAAAAACACATACAAACTCCAAAACACGTAAAAACTCCAAAACACGTAAAAACACGTACAAACTCCGAAGCACGTAAAAACTCAGAAGCACATAAAAACTCAAAACACGTACAAAAGACAACAGAAGTGCTCCAGGATGCTGGGCGCAGTGTTGAGCTTTTGTTATCTTGTGGCTACACAAGCCAGCAAGTACCAACGACCGGATTTGGTGTGTGGTAGTAACAGGTAAATGAACTTTTTTTAAAAATTATTTGAATATATATGAGTGCCTGTGTATAAATACACAACCAACACACACATGCTTTCAATTGTGTAATTTAAGTGATCTAGTAGCTCTGCTTTGGAAGTTCAGTTCATGCTAGAAATGTGTTTTGTAGTTTGTACGTGTTTTGTCTCTAGGGGCCACCGCATATATTTATATATAAACATATATAAATAAAATCACTTTTTTTTTACGTTAGTAATTCCTTTTGTGCATATTTTTATATTATTGTTAATAATAAATTAATTAAAGCAACAAAACAACCTGAAGAGCCGGTTCGGAGCCGAAAGAGCCGGCTCTTTTTAGTGAGCTGAACCGAAATCCCATCACTATTGAATTCAGAAAAGGAGCAGCACATGAAAAAAAATGTCATATGATGCAGGATGTGAAAAACATTGGGTACTATTTGATTTTTTTTTTCTCTCTTTTTCATTCGTAATTATTTTCTTGGTAAAAGCTGTTGGAGTGACTCTACATGGAACCTGACCCCTCCTGTTGTCCATGTTGGGTGGGGAAAAGAGGGCATTTGAGCTATCATCTGTTGTGTGACTGTGGAACAGGAACACAGCTGCTAAATGGCAAGAAGCCATTTGGTGTGCACTTTTTTTTCAGACATTTTAGCTGTGTGAAACAGACGGAAATGTCCACTGATTAGCTAACTCTACATGGCTGACCAGGGAAGTGTGAGTATTATGCTAAATGATAACCATTGCTTAGTTTATCGGCTTTTCAGCCTGCTGAGATACATTGGTATGACATACCATGCTACCAAAACGTAGCCTGTACATTCCAGTAAAGACAGAAAAATCTGAGCATGTCGTGTTTAAAATGTAGTGTTGTAGCAATATTTCTGTCTGGGCCACAACAGCAGGTGCCAGTGCATTCACAGCAATTCACAGTGCATTTGAGAGTGAGTTGCTAGCTGGTGTTCAGAACAGTAAAAGGGATCTCTCACGTCTCTCTGTATCCACGCATCTGTGCTCCCGTCACTGTCAGAACTCTTGTTACTTCTTCTGTCAGTAAATGGGTGTTTTCAGAACTCAATGTTGCACCCGTGAGCAAAGCACCACCAAAAGGAAGTTTGTATAAGACTGAAAAATTGTAAAAAGGTTAATGCATTGATCCAAATATCAATAGTATAGATACCAATGCTGGTAATAGTGTCAATACTATTGATTGATAGTAGCATGACTCTGTTTATTTCCCTTTAGTTTGGTATGCAGCCCACTGAATTGTGTGAATATTTGCATTTGCAATACTAACCAATTATTTAATAACAAAATGTAGTTTCCACATTTGCACTGTTGCACAGCACTGCTGCATACGGGTCATGTTTCAGTTGGTGCCAATAAATACCTGTGCTTACTGCATAATCGGTTCACCTGGAAATGAATGCCAACACTTTGCTGCTGATGAGAAAAGGGTGGAAGTTTGTGTGGTATTTTTTGTCCAGTGTAAAACCTGGAGCTTAAATCTACTTCTTAGTCCCTGACAGCTTGAGTGATGCTGTCTATGTCTTGACTCAGTGAGCTGAACCCACCTGGGTAAAAAGGATGAGAGGAAATGTTTAAAAAAAAAGTATTTGTCACTACCTTGGCTTCATGCACACATGTGCTTCTCAGAGTGGTCGTCTCACTGCAATCCAAAAAAAGTCATATATCGAGGCACTCTCCAGGTCACCATTACAGTTTAGGATAAAACAGTCCTTTGAATAACTTTGTTCAACAATTTCTGCGAGTATCAGGACACTGCTCCTTCAACATCAACAACATCCTAAAAATAGCTCTGATTTCCACCAAACATTTACTCACCATATGTGTGAATAATCCGCGGAACTGCTCGGGGTGATAGTTGGAGATATAGAGGCAATTACACAGTAATAGATTCAATCTCAGGCCAAGAGAAACATAATTGGAGAGAGAGCTCTCGCCTACGGGCCAGAATATTGTATACTGTCACTGTGATTATAGACACTTGGCACAGCATGGTGCTGTAGCAATTTAAAATCAGCATATGAATGGCTGACGTTAAATAGAACACTTTAGATCATGGCTTCGATTG